GGAAGTTGGGGTTCATTAGGCAGATATCCCTTCACTCTTTCATTCATTCATTTATTTAGCATTCTTTTATTTGCTGAGGCCCCAAATGTGATGGCCATTACAACACTCTATGCCAGGAACATGAGGGTACAAATTGTCCCTGCTCTCCGGATGCTCAAAGCCTGGCATCAGAGTTATCATTTTTTCAGCAGGAATTACTAATCGGACAAGTTCTCCGCGACAGACTTCATCTTACTGACATGACTCTGTTTAGAAATGTTTTCTGAACATCAATCTGGCCAAGCCAGCTTGTGACTCATGTTTCACTTCAACCATTGATATTCATCATGCATGCAGGCTCAGCTGGATTAAGGAAGGTGCCCGCCTCTCTTGTGGACATTACCTTGCTTTTCTTATACCAGGAAAAGTGTGCGCGGGACTAACCACGACGACCCTGCAGCTCCATCGTCTGAGGAGTCAGCAGAGCCACAAAGTCAGGAAAACCCAGATCGCCTTCTGGAGCCTCCACAGCACTCCCAACAGGATTTGTATTTCCTGTCCTTCAGGGTGCGATGTGCTGGCACCGACTCACGGGCAGTGGGTTTGGGTTTTGGTTTGATGTTGCTGGAACCATTCAGAGACTGTCTTACAAAGAAACGCTTGCTGTTCTATTGGCTAAGGAGAGAGGGAGCAATGAGACAGAAAGGTTCAAGAGGTGGGGGGGGGGGAATCCATACAAGGGGTTTTCTCAAGCACCCCTGTTTTCTCTTGTTAGAAGTATTGTGGTTGAAGGGGTGCTACTCCGTGTGATTAAAACACTTGTTTCTTACGTAATACCTGGTTTTGCACCACCCTAAACAACACAGGTGGCCCAGTGGGGTAAGTGCTCACCAGAGAACTGAAAGGTTGGTGGTTTGAAACCAACCAGTAGCTCCACGGGAAAGAGGTGTGCTGAGGTGCTCCCAGAGAGATGACAGCTTCGCCAGCCACACAGGGCTAGTCTACTCCATCCCGCGGAGTCCCTGTGCGGAGGAACAACTGCAAAGCACCCAACAACATCAACGCAGGAAGCCAAGTCTGAGATCTCAGGCCAGACACGTGTGGCTCCTCAAGAAGCAAAGCAGCCACTTACCTAAGCAAAAAAAGCGCATTCCTTAATTTCTAAACATTTGCAAACAGCAAGGCCATCCGAATGCTAGCACACCATCATGAGAATGCCTCACTCGGAATCCACGAGCTCCCCCTGCGGAAGCTCACATCCTCTAATGCAGCAGTTCTCACCCTGCCTCATGCCGCGACCCTTTCAGACAGTTCCTCATGGGGTGGTGACCCCCCCAAGCATAACATTATTTTCTACTTCATCACTGCCATTTTGCTACGATCATAAATTGGGCGACCCCTGTGAAAGGGTCGTTTGACACACACACCTGCAACGGGGTCGCGACCCACAGGTTGAGAACCGCTACTCTAATGGGAAAGACCATGTTGTGGACGCCAGTGGACTGAAAGCTGGCTTCCTTGCTCCAAAGTTCCAGGCACTACAACCTTGTGCATGAATGGAGAGCTACACCCTGTTATCTTCTCAACACTCTCCCAAGGGTGAGATAATGCTTATTTGTTGGCCAAAGCCATCAGCCAAGTGCAGTGCCGCGAGTCCTCCAAACAAGATGAGAATCCAAGGCAATAAGGGGGAGGAACAAAGACAAGGAAAGCTAAATCCAAAATAAAGATAGTACAAAATGCCCAGAATAGCCCAGAAAGACAGCTGATGGCCTTTTCTTCTAAAATCTCTTCATATCACAGTGTCAAATGGCCTAAGTGTCTAGAGTCAACACATAACTACTGTTATTACAAAGGGAATGAAGTACAGTAAAAATATACACACTAGAGAAGCTGATGGCACAATGACAACTTGCATTTGCAAATACCAACTAAAACATTCTAGAGAAATGCAATGATTACGCTGCACTTGGCAGCCAGTCACTAGCAAGCAAGGCTCACGCCTCATTTTATGATAGTCAAAGGAAGCGAAGGCTATTTCAAGCTCTCAAAGCTACTGTAATTTCTGCTGAGATTACACGTATATCTTCTGTTTATAGACTACATGGTTACTGCTACAGTGGCTATAAATTGCCACACCCCTAGTTCATGTCTCTTCTTGACTAAAGAAGCCCTATGATTTGATCAGGAGGGAAGAGCGTTCTGGTAGACCAGGAGCACAGAAGACATCATAGGGGACCACCTTATTTCTTTAGTTATAATGCACAGAGCCCTAAAACCATAAACCAGACTGACTGCCATCGAGTGGATGGTGACTTAGCCAGGAGTCGTTTTCCACTTGACAACAACTGGTTCTGGGTTTTCTTCAACTCTCATGTGTTGTTCAGGTTTTAAGAGCGGAATCTCCTTGTTACCTTTCCACGCCCTGCTGCGGTTGGCGACGTAGCTCGATCACTCCTTGGAGAGTTGAGGATCTATTTCTTCTTCCCCTCTGTAATCCCAACCCGGTACCACCGTTCTCTGCCTGAAGAACACACCTTCTCTCATCACACATCTATCAGAGAGGGGTTCCACCTGGCCACGTGTAGACAAACCTTATGTGGTTACTGAAAACTGATTTCTCTGCTTTCAGAGAAGTTCAGTGCAACAGCATTTCTCAAGGCTACCGAATCTGAATTGCTGAGTGGTCCCTGACCAAACAAAATAGAATCATCACTAAAGCTATGCCAGAAATATTCATAGCAGCACTATTTGCCAATTGGAAACTACCAAAGTATCCAAACCCGCCAAAACCAAACCCGCTGCCATTTGAGGTCAGTTCTGACTCATCGTAACCCTTTAGGGACAGAGTAGGGCTGCTCTGCGAGGCTGCCACAGCGATTCGTCCTCCTGGGCCTAGGCGGCCACAGCTTCCTCTCCTGCACTGCCTGGTGGGTTCTAAGCCCTGGCCCATCATTTGGCGGCTGAGCAACATTGAGCCCCTGGGATTCTCTGAAATGTCCAACAACTGTAAATTACATCTATCATACAGGACCGTTAGAGTAAGAATGAATAAAAGTTAGAGGAGAATGAATAAAATAAACTTTATGTAGTATCACAGACAAAAGTCAGAAACATAATAAGCAAGATAAGTCTGGGACAAGAGAATCCCGCATGATCCTACTTACATAAATTTCCCCAACAGGCAAAATCAACCAATGAAATTAAAGTCAGGAGAGTGGGTTCCCAGGAGGAAGTATGTTTTGGAGGCTGACACTGTTGCATCTTAAGTGAGGAGCTGGCTATACAGGTGTGTTCACTCTGTGATAATGATTGCATCACGATGTCCACCTCTGATCTGAGCAATTTCCACTATGGATAAGACACTTCCATTCAAAAGCTGACAGAAAGAGACCCCGGAAAGCACCCGATTCACTCCCCTTCGAAGCATCTGAGTAGTTGTGAAGCTTACACACGGCAAGCACACACAACGCAGAAGGCCTGGGAGCGGTGTCCTGGTGACACGCCGCGCTGTTTAAAACCACCAGCTACTCTGCAGGAGAAAGACGAGGCTTTCGACTCCCATACAGAGTTACAATTCCAGAAACCCATAGGGGCAGCTCTACCCTGTCCTACAGGATTGCTGTGACTCAGAAGTGATGTGATAGCAGTGAGTAATGGCCCATCCAGGTACCAGCAAACTCTCAAATGTAGGAGGATGTTTTTCCGCCTTCTTTCCTTGATATGACTTAACAGCAGTTCTCAACCTGTGGGTCTCGACCCCTGTGGGGGTCAAACGACCCTTTCACAGGAGTCGCCCAATTCATAACAATAGCAAAATGGCAGTTATGGAGTAGCAGTGAAACTAATTTGATGGTTGGGGGTCACCACCACATGAGGAACTGTACGAAAGGGTCGCAGCATCAGGAAGGTTGAGAACCACTGGTTTTAGAAGGATTAGGATCTTGTGCCTATTGCAAACACAACCCAGCAGGCTCAGTGTTCCTATGGAGCGTGATACCAGGAAAAGCATTTAAACACTCTGTAAGTAATATAGCAGACCAGAAAAAGTCAAGAGTGCTTGGATTGACGCCCAGCAGAGCTTTAGGTGCTGCTACCTACTTCAGCGCATTCCCCTCTGAGCCTCAGCGTCTTCAGCTAGAATAGTAACTCCAACTGTGCAAGGTATGAACCTTGGTGGCTTAGCGGTTAAGCATTGGGCTCCTAACCACAAGGTCAGCAGTTCAAAACCACCGGCTGCTCTGCACAAGAAAGAAAATGCTTTCTACTCCCATATAGAGTTACAACCTTGAAAACCATCAGGACAATAGTTCTACTCTGTCCTGTAGGGTCGCTTTGAGTCGAAATCAACTCAATGGCAGTGAGTTAGTAAGAAACGGTGTAAGAAGGCCATGAGGATAAGATACAGGTAACAGCGTCAAAGCAGGTCCTGGCATGTGGCAATTACCCAGAAAAAGTTCTTATGGAATGCATATTGACTCAAATTGGTCAAATACTTATCATGTAGTAGTGCCTCAATAAATGGTAGCTATTATTATGACTAGGCAAGGGTGTGGGGAGGAAGGGAATAAACAATCACCTTATCTTTTCTAAGGTCAATAGCTGGGGTGTCTATAAGGTCATTAATGGGTTGGCCAGCAATCCCACTGGTTCAGATCTAAGACTGACAGCCTGTGGGACAAAGCAATGCACAACATGCCAAGAAGAGCTGTGCTTTTGATGTGCCGCCAGGTCTGTGTTTCCCTTCTTGGGGCCAAAACACATTTATTTACTCATCAACTGCATGGCAAAACATTGGTGCCACCTCGGTTTACTCATTCTACTCCTTCTGTTACTCATGCTGCTCTTAGAACAACGCATTTTAAGGTGGATAAAACTCTCGCAGATTTCATGATTAACGTGGCGATAGTCAAGTACCTTTGCTACTAGCAAAAAAAATGTTCACACCTAGCACACAGAAGGGTAATTACAGGCTTCAGGGATGTCAAAAAAGAACCATAAGGAGGGATGGGTCTACTTACATGTAATAAAATCAGGCTTAATATTGATTTTGCTCAGCTCTTCCAATCCCGTATGGACTTAGCAGATTGATCCATCCAAATGTTTTTGGGCTGGAAAGAAACAAAAATTAAAATGACAAATTGAAACTAATTTCAAAATCTAGCACATCTGACAAAAGCAAAACTTCTGGATGATCAATTACTGCCTGAACACACCGCAGCAACTCAACAGCAAGTGTAACTAAGAATAAGACAGTGTGTATTAACAACACATGCCCGTAGAGCCAACAATGTTCTTCCTCAGTCCGCCCTTGTCTGTCTTCCCTCCCTCTCCTTCCTTCTTCTCCCCAGCCAACACTTGTCCTCCGCCTCCCTCCCTCTGTCTTCCTCACTGCTGAGGGAACTGTCTTCCCCAGACCAGTGCCATTACAAGAGGTCACAGGAGCAGAGGGTGTGTTTTAAGCCAATCACCTTAGAAATATAAAAAGAGCAGATTTGGTAGAGAAGCAAACACAAACGGAAAGGAAAGCGGAGGCCACGTGGAAATTTCCAAGGAATAGAGAGAACATTAGTGAGGCTTAGAGAAGAATCTCCCCTACAGTGATCAGAGACTTGCCCTTGAGCTAGCTAGAACCTGCATTCACGACTGGCCTCCAAGACTGTGAGAAAGAAACTTTGTGAAAGCCACTGACTTGTAGGATTTCTGTTGTGGAAGTAGCTAAGACACTCAGTTCCTAAGGCCTAATTATCTGCCCAAAAACAACCAACATGAACATTAATTTTTGTGGTACCAGGTATCTAGCAGAACTTTTGTGGTGAAATGGAGTACATGTTGGGCCACTAACCTCCAAGGTCAGCCGTGGCTCCTTGCGAGAAAGATCAGACTTCCCATAAAGAGTTACAGGCTCAGAAACCCAAAGGGGCAGTTCTAATTTTGTCCTATTGAGGTTGATATGAGGCAGAATTCATTCGACAGCAGTGATTTTGGGTTTGGTGGGAAGAATCCAGCACATTATAGATGTTGTACAATGTTTATTGAATAAATAAAATATGCTTTTAAGTAATGATTGTACAATTTTTCTTGATATGATTGAACTACTGAATTGTATGATACATGGATTATGTGCCAATAGAACTAAAAAATTATGCTTTTACAATACTTACTCATTAAGATCTTTTTTTAATCATTTTATTGGGGGCTGGTACAGCTCTTATCACAATACATACATGCATCCATTAAGATTCTTTTTCATAATATAAGGCTTATTTTAAAAAATATATATATATAAGGCTTATTTTCTATTTTGTCAAGTTCACAGAGAATTATTTTTAGTATTTTGGGGTTGCTTTGTTTGTTTTTTTAGTTTTCTTCCTTTATCAACTTTGAGAGTTTAACAATTCCATTTCTAAGCAAGTTTTTTCTTTCTTTTTTAAAATACTTTTATTGGGGGCTCTTACATCGCTTATCACAATCCATATATTCATCCAGTGTGTCAAGCACATTTGCACATGTGCCGCCATCATCATTTTCAAAGCATTCTCTTCCCACTTGAGCCCCTGATATCAGCTCCCCATTTCCTCCCCCGCTCCCCCACACACCCTCCCTCCCGAACCCTTGATAACTTATAGATTATTTTTTTCATATCTTACATCGTCCTCCGTTGCCCCTCACCCACTTTTCTGTTATTCGTCCCCCTGGGAGGGGGGTTCTAAATTGATCGTTCTGCCATTAGATTTTTTTAAATGGGGAAATGCTTGCAACTGATTGTTTTCTTATCCAACAAGAAAAATACATAGACAATACATCAAAATATATACACTGATTTGAGATGTACATTTCCAATTCCCTTTATCTCTTTGTCTTTATTTCACCTTTACCTGTTTTATACTCTGAGCCAAGATTTAATTGGATAATTATTCCTTTTAAATAATGCATACTTAGGAGGGAAAAATCCACAGCTGTCATCCATATATGAGCATGTACACTCCCACCACAATGAAGAAATAAGACAAAGATTCGTTGTAAAGAAATAGGCATAGAAAGAGGCTTCCTCTTCAAATGCCTCATAACTGCTTTCACCCAACTGAGAAAGTGGTTTCTCCAACTTAAATACTAGAAATATTGCCCCCCCAAAAGAAGCCAAAATCCACTGTTATCCATCGAGTCAATTCCAACTCAGGGTAACCCCACAGAACAGAATAGAACTGTTCGCTTGCGTTTCTGAGACTGTCCATCTTTACGAGAGCAATGGCTCCATAGTTCTTCCCAAGGAGAGGCTGCTGGTTTTGAGCTCCTGCCTGTGTGGTTAGAAGCCCAGTGCTTAGCACCCAGCCACGAGGGCTCCTTAAATCAGCACCTGTTCTAGACCAAATAATGAAGTCGGAATTGAGCTGGCTCTTTTTCTCCCCTCCCCTTTCTGAGGATTCAGTGGCCCCAGAGGTGTTGCCAATTAGAGAAGAAAGAGGATCAGTTCTAAGATTCCAACAACTTAATGAATACCCTTTTGGGAGCATATTCCTCAAAATAGGGGATAGTTTGTTTGTTTGTGTTTAAGCTTCAGAAGAGATAGGTGCTTAACATTAAAGTAATATATAAAACTGGGAATGAAATTTCAGTTGTCTTAAAGGAATTAAGTCATATTAGGTTAAGTGCCTATCCAAAGGCAGCTTCATATGTAGCGTGTATATACACATAAAAATGCAGGCAAGTTTTAAGCACTTAACAGTGAGACATTTTAATGAGCCTAGGGCGTGCTCTCCAAGTCCACAGCCCTACCGGTTCCTAAGTGAAAAGAGGTGGGAGTGGGCGTGGGCAGGGAAATTTCACCTCCACTTGTTTTACAGTTTGAGCCAAGAATTAATTGGATAAATAGTTCCTTCAGCTGCTTACAAAACATTTGAAACAGTGTGACTAAGTTAATGATTACATTACAGGCCAGAGCAGCAAATCCTAATGAGTTTGTAACAGCAGATGTAAACCGGTCACCACCACCAGAATCCAACCACCTACTGTAGCAAGGCCTTGAAGGAAACCTGGGTGTTCCCATGTGGGGCCCTGAGCATGGATGACAGGAAGTCTGAGCAGGCAGGAGCCAGGCCGCCTCCCTCCTGCTCAGCCCCTTTAGCTCTTGCCCTGGAACAAACAGCAGAGGGAAGGCCACCTGCACGCATGCAGCTAAAAGAACCGGACTAGCCAGCAGGAAGGAAGCAAGCCACAGTGGTTTCTGAAGGGCAGCCAGGCCCCCAGGCTGCCCAATCCCCAGGAGCTACGAGCTGGGAACCACAGGCACAAGGTGGAACGGCTTCACAAATGTCTGGGCATTTCACTGAAAGGAGTAAGTTAGGAGAAAAGTCAAGAGAACTACAGAAAGAGAAGAAAAACATATAAGATCCAACTCAAAACAACATGTAAAATGTAAGAAAGGAGAGAAAAAACATTTAGAGAGCATTATGAGAAAATTAGCAGTGCCCAAACTTGTTTCAGAGGAATTCATATCAGCTAAAAAGCTTTGAGTAAATTCAATCCTTCCTTCAGCAAGGAGCTCTGATTATTTGACCCAAGCAGGAATGAATACACAACATTCATAAACACGAACCATTATATTTTTTGAGATTTCATCATGGGCCTCATTTAAGTAAATCCAAGATGTCCTTTGTTGCACAGTTTTGATCCAACGTAAGAGACCTTCGTCATTTCCTCAGGAGCAGACTGAAGCTATAAATACTAAGCACCACAGTCAGTCACTCACAAAAAGACTCACTGACAAGTTTAATTTTAAAAACAAGAACACATTATTAAACTGAAAAGCAAGCCATGAAAAATCCAAACCCATGCAAACAACATTCCAAGGAGAAAAACCCTTCCTGTCATGACAAGCATTAAATACAAATAGCTTTTAATCTGGCTCACAAAACCTTTCCTACTCAAATATCACCCACACAGGCACCCACACAGGCATACCTCAGATATATGTCAGGTTCATTTCCAGGCTGCTGTAATAAAGCCAATATGGCAATAAGTGAGTCACGAGACTTTTGTAGTTCCCTGGTGCATATAAAGGTTATGTGTACACTCTACTATAAACTATTAAGTGTGCACTAGCAATATGAAAACGTTGGAAACATTGTAAAAATTACCAAAATGTGACCCTGAGACATGAAGGGAGCGCATGCTGTTGGGAGGTTGCCACAAATTTGTAAAAAAGCACAGTATCTGCAAAGCGCCAAAAAGCAAAGTGCAGCAGAGAACAAGGTATGCCTATGTACAGTCTACATCTGTGCCCACTCAATGGAACAAGTCCTTCCGTTCTGCCCACAACCTCAGGTTTCAAACTGCAGGGAAATCCTTCAGTGACCGTTGTCGTGGAAAACACATTGATTACTTTTACTTATTTTCTAAACCACTCTGATTTTCAAAAGCATAACTGTCAAAACTGAGAGCAATATGCAGAACAAACTCATTAGGAAGCAAAGTTACTGTTCAAGAATACTTATTTCAAGCTTTAAAACGAAATGGAATTAGAAACCACCACGCAGGTTTAATGATGTCAACGTAGGGAGCTGTATGTGCACAGGCCACATACGGCCCACAGTCTTATTTTTGTGAATACAGCTTTATTGGGAATCAGCCAGACTATTCACTAACCTATTGTCTAGGGCTGCTTTTGTGGTACCCAATAATCGAGCCGTTGTGACAGAAACTATACGGCCAGCAAAGCACAAAATATTTGCTATCTTCCCTTTAAAAAAATAATGCCAACTCCTGATCAGTAGTAAACAGATATTTCTCTAGACTAGGTCATTGGACTGAAACTCTGGTCATTTTGTGGGATGACTTACTATGTCACTTAACCTTTTCTTACTTTTAATTCTCTCCTTTTAAAACATGAAAATAGCTATCATTTATAGGGAACTTACTCCGGCACTGTTCTAAGGGAAGCATACGAATTAGCTCATGTAATTCTGATCAAAGTTCTTTGAGATAGGTAAATTATTATCCCTATCTTCAGATGAGGGCTCTGGGAAAGAGTGTTTAATTAACTTGGCCATTTCTGGTAAATAGATCAGGATCAGAACCAGGCAGTCTGGTTCCATGGCTGGTATTCTTAATC